TCAGCAGGAACTCAAGCAGAGAACAAAAAAATGATCATCCTGCATTTCCAGCAGCGTTAAGTTCAGAGAATCTCAGTTCTACACACAAAGTTATAGATAATCACAAACAACTCAACCAAAGCTTCATGCTAAGCTGCCTATCAAGCAGCTGTCACTGAGATAGCCCAGGTGTTGCTGGCACTGGATGTAGAAGAATGACCATGGCAGTCTGTCTCCACACACCCACTCAGATCCCACACATTGAGAGAGAACTCTTAGGAGGTGTATAAAAGGTGAAGGCCATTTAGGTATCTAAAAGTAATTTTTTCTATCAGTGTTTGGTTAGTTTATTACTTTGATAATGGTTAAGAAATTTGGAAGAGTTAGAAAAACTTCTGAAACTCACAGACTTGACTAGAAAAAAGGAGTATAGCAGAGAAATCTGTTTTCCAAAGCTGTTCTTTTGATTTGGCATAGATGAAAATAATTTCAAACTGATTGTCATCATGGTTATGGCAATATATACAAATAAATAATTTTTCAATTTCGAGAAGGTAAAATACCTTAAAAAAAGAAAGAATGCAATGAAAATCTACTCCCCTTTTACAACTTAAAATATCTTTTCAAGGAAGCAGGTAATTATAATACTGAAAAGACTTACTAAACCTATTATATAAGAGAACAAAACCCGATTGGCTTTATCAATCATCACAAATCACGGGTCAGATGATTGATTTTGAACACAAAACCAACACCATATATATATATGTATATAGTGGCAGATTTTAGAGAAAGAAAAAAAAAGAGTTGCGGAAGTGGAAATAAGGGAACGTATGTATTCAGTACTTCCTATCACATCAGCAGGTGTGGAACACAGCAACATGGATATAAGTGCAGGAGAAACTGGAGGAACCAGCCACACAAAGTTCAGGCACCACAAAGGAAGGACAGAGCCAAATCTGCCAGCAGAATCTCACCTTTTGATTCCACCCTATTTTTTTCATCAACTACAATGACAAAAAGATGTGAAAAGTTTCTGAAGCCATCGCACTGCTATCAGGAGCAGTGGGAATCCATCCTACTAGGCACTGGGATTAGTAAAATATTTGGTCAGGTTTCTTTTTTTACAAAGAAAAGTAAAGTATGCATGTAAGGTTTATATTTAAGTGCAACCAGTCATTCCAAGCTTGTTTTAAGGTTAAGATATTTTTAAGAAGATTTGTTCATACAAAAGTGAGGTTGCCTTGGCAACTGTAGCTATAGAAAGCCAGAGTAATTACTTTCACAAAATCCTTCCTAGTGCTCTCTCCTTCTTAATAGGAATGTGTAACTACCTTGTTTTAAGCCACATTTATCAGAAATATTACTCATCATCGATTCTGCCCTTGAGGCATGGGAATCCAAAAGTATGTGCTTAAAGCAGGTTGAATAGTGCAAAACCAATTTGCAAACACTTATTTAAATTCAAACATGAAAGTCAGACCATGCATATTTGCTCTTGGAGAGAAGTGAAAATTTGTAAAGATGCAGCATTCTGTTTTCATATTGCAAGATTTCATTGAATGAACTGTGCTATGTATTCAACTATCTTCAAATGCAATAATGATTCACTTTTGTGAACAGCAGGCAGAAGGAATTAAGATTGCAATTTAATATACCTGAACTATATTCATGTAAACAGATCTACTGAATCATTGCACTGCTCTGTTGCATACTGTGGACTTATCTGGGTGGCTGGGACAAGCTTAAGGTCTCTGTTCATCTCTTCATTACATGGTAGAAACGTACTCTGATTTCCCTGGCACAGTGTTTGAGATCCATCATTAGTGATATCTGGCATAGTTCTGCTGACCCCTAGGACTGTCATTTAATAACTTATCCAATTTTTCTTCTGTGCTTGTTAGAGCAGATGATGTCCATTTAGGCTTGATTCCTTCCTGTGGCCTTTTTTGTGTGATAAATAATATTTTACCACAGAGCTCCTCTCAGGCCATGTTGTTCGGCTTTGGCTTACTGATGCCATAGAATACATTGGCCACAGGAATGGGTTCTTGCACTGAAACAGGGATGGATATTAACAGTAGTTTGTAAAAGTCTCTTTTCATTCATTATCAGAAGAGTATTGTGTCCCCAGCTTTGCTTCCTGCCTGTATGAATGCTGTCCTGAGTTACAGTTGCAAATCGCGCACTAGGAAAGCCAGAGTTATACTGTGTAACTATAATACATACCCTCTTTCTTTTCCTTCTCTGTGATTCTGTAACTTAAAACGTATTTACAAACAGGATATGAACACTCTGTTATGCATACTGAAAGGACTTTTGTCTGTTAAAATGTCACTAATAAGTTACACAATATTACAAGTGATCAAGAAGTGGTATCACTGTAGATGCCTCTAGAAATCTGGGAAACCAGTATCTTTCATGATGCACATGAAGATTTTTTCTGCCCCTGTAGTTTTGCAAGGTGCCACAAGTCACACACATTTACTTATGCTGAATCATCAGCATCATTCCAAGCAGTCCTGATATTTTTCAAATCCAACTATCCATGCCACTTCGGCTGGGAGACTAGCAGCATTTAGCACAATGGGTATCAAATATATGTGTTCAGCATCTGTTTTCTAGTGATTCCCAGGCCTATAGAGAGGTTAATGTCCTCTAAAAAACTAGAATAATTCTGAAATTTTTACTCATCTGTAGTGATTACACACAGACCTTGATTCAGTGAAGTGCATTTTCAATGCTGCAACAGCATCAAGGCACTCAAAAATCCAATGTGATACTCTCAAACTTTAATTTTCCACTAGATTCTCAGTCATTAACAGCAAGATTACTTAAAAAAATAGCTTCATAAAATGGGTGCATTGAACAAAATTATGTATCAAATCCTGAATTTTGAAGTCAAAGGAGACAGAAAAATTTAAAGCAAATGAGGATCTGCTGTGATGTCTTTTTTAGGCTAAATTAAATATAGCCTTTTAGCCTGTGTTCAGTTATCCTAGCTTGTGTTCACTTTTATGTAGTTTGACAAACTGAATAATCTGAGGTCTTTCCTCACAATACTCAAAGACAGACATATACTGCCCTATACTCTTGATTTACCTTTTGATCAATATATTTGTTTTCTTCAATTGCTGATCTTTTGGAGTGGTCACATGAGGAAGAAGATGCTGAAGGAAGTCTTCGCAGCAAACAGCTGGTATCTTGTTGCTGGCGATCAATAAACTGCTTCATAAAACTTTCCCTTTAGAACAAATAGAAGATATCGGTGGATTACAGCCCCAGGAAGAGTTAATATTTGGTTTTCTTTATGACATGTCCCAACCCATTAGTGCTAAGGGGTATAAAGTCCACGAAAAAGTATTGGGCTATAGATGTATAAAGGGACAGAGTGCCGAAACAACTGATAAAACTTAAATTAATCTATTAAAGAAATCCATAACTTAATTGAGAGGTCGGTGGCCTGCATGCAGTTTCGAATAAAATAATTTTATTCCTTTAAATATTTATTTATTCATTTATTTACTAGCTAAAGTGCTAAATATTTGAAGTGCCTTTTGCAGTTTTCGGCTCTTTTGAGCTCATTAAACAGGGAGTTGTTACTTCAGTGTAAATCAAACATTGATATAATCCAAAGGAAACATACTCTCTGCAAGAAATTCTTGAAGATGTCAAACAAGATCTGTTTATCTAACTGCCTTAAATGACAGTATTAAGGTGCTTCAGGAATTCTGCACCTCATCTACACCACTTTTAAAACATAGAAGGATTTCTGTTCACAAGAAATACACATTTATCTTGCTGTATTTTAAGTTTAGTAAGTTGCTCTATTTTCAGTGTAAGTTGACTATGTCCAAACTAATTTTTATCTGGAGAGACAGTTCTACATAATACAATAGCTTCAGATTTAAAGATATGATTTGCTAGTGATAGTTTGAAGCCTGTTTCAGTAGTTAGCATGATCATGTATTAGTCTAGAGTATGCTGGGAAAAACACAGCTAGAAAGAAATACCAAAAAAGGCTAAGATTAGGAGAATGGCCTTGATATATAACCAAACAGTATTTTCATATTAAAAGCAAAACATCTATAACTGTTTCCTTGAGGTTTGTTTTTCCTGACCCTTCTGACCAGCATTATTCCTTTCATTCAGCTATGATGATACAAACAGGTCAAATCAGGTCGAGGGAGGTGATCCTGCCCCTCTACTCTGCTCTGGTGAGACCCCACCTGGAGTACTGCGTCCAGCTCTGGGGGCCCCAGTACAGGAGAGACATGGAGCTGTTGGAGTGAGTCCAGAGGAGGGCCACAAAGCTGATCGGAGGGCTGGAGCACCTCTCCAAGGAGGACAGGCTGAGAGAGTTGGGGTTGTTCAGCCTGGAGAAGAGAAGGCTCCAGGGAGACCTGATAGCAGCCTTCTAGTACCTAAAGGGGCCTACAGGAAAGCTGGAGGGGGACTGTTTATCAGGGAGTGTAGTGACAGGACAAGGGGTAATGGGTTTAAGCTGAAGGAGGGTTGATTTAGATTGGATGTTAAAAAGAAATTCTTTACTGTGAGAGTGGTGAGGCACTGGAACAGGTTGCCCAGAGAAGCTGTGGATGCCCCCTCCCTGGCAGTGTTCAAGGCCAGGCTGGATGGGGCTTTGGGCAACGTGGTCTAGTGGAGGGTGTCCCTGCCCATGGCAGGGGGGTTGGAACTAGATGATCTTTGAGGTCCCTTCCAACCCAAGCCATTCTATGCTTCTATGATAAAACAGTTGCCTTAGCTTCCCTGTGAGTTTAATCAAAAGAAATGCAATCTCAGGAGACCCAGAACAATGACTGTCAGTTTTCACACAATCCTCTCTCCCAGCATGCCCTCAGTGGAGACACTGGAATGGGCATGGCCAGAGGACCAGTTTGGCCAGCCTGCACTGTTTCAGCAGTCTTAGCAGCCTGTACGTGCCAGGGCAGCCGTTGGATTTCTGTAAATTTTTTTGGGGACTACACCAAGAATAATTGGACTGTAACTGATGATCTAATAGCCAACTGAGGGTCTGATCCTTTGTTAAGGTGAATTTTACAGGAAAGTGTTACCTATGCAAATACAAAGAGGGGACAAGGTCATCGCAGAGTAACTGGTATTGGATGGCCTGAGTTATCCCCTCTAATGATTTGCTGCCAGTTGACCTTATCTTTAAAAAGCTACATGAGAATTGATTAGACTGCTAGTTTTCTATGTCAGTCAAGAATCTAAAATCCAAACGGGAGTGAAGAAACGACAACACACTTTTCAATCATATCGTACTTGTATCGGTTCCGGTTAATCTAGTTGCTTTCATGAATATGTTATAAAGGAGTGGCAGGATTTTTTTATTTGTTTCAAAAGTAAAAATGAGGTAAAACCAAAATGTCACATCCTTTTGATGCCAATGTTAACTCTGTTTCATTTCTGGTTTTCTGAACTACCTAATCCACACACAAAACAGTTAAATATCTTGTGTCCTACCTGGCACCTGGCACCTGGCACAAGTTTACAGCATACTAGCAAGGGAAATATTTCAATACCTTATTTTTGGAACCGTGAAATCTGAAGGAAGCTTGGAGATTTTCACCATTTGTGGCCTATTTGGAAATTTTTCAAAGATGCGTAGACGCAATGGAAGCTTCTCCTTTGTATCTGCATTTGCTTCACTTTGCTTTAGCTGAAAACAAGGAAATGAAAAAAATGACAGAAAGGGAAATTTTGCTCTGTAATACCCCAGCCTTGTCTTTCAGAATCCAAATAATAACAGCAATCATTTAAAGCAACAGAAGATGGCAGCAAAGAACTACAGAGGGTAAATTTGATACTTACCAATTTATTGGTCTGCTTGTGCTAGAAGCTGACAAATACCTAACAATACCATGCCTTTAATTGAAAGTCATAAAATGGAAGGATTGCTAATAATTTTAATTTTAAAATATGAAGCATATTAGTATTCTATTCAATATGCTTATTTCTATGTTTTCTTCACAGATCCCTAACACTTCATCAAGCAAATAAACACCCATGATCTTTTCTTATTAGGCACATCTTTCTGTATATGCTGACAGCTCTTCCATATTCAGACAGAACATAGCATTTTAAAATGGAGCAATTTTAAAGGAATCCAGCTCTCAGAACATGAAAATAACAGGAAAATTACATTTAGATGAATATTATAAGTAATACAAAGGACTCAAAAGAATCCATCTACATCAGCAATTCTGATACAGAGCTGCAACAAATCACATAATGAATGTTGCATTTTTAAGTATCCATAAACATGGATATTCCATGGAATATCACACATCTAAGTACAGAAAAGGCAGACAGATCTATCTATGTGGACAAATGATGGCTAAATCTAATGATGGAAGATAAAACTGAATTCTGATAACCCTATGTAGCAATTCAGTTGTGCCATTGCAATGAAATACCAAGTCAAAAAGAATCAGTGAAATTCATTTTTACATTTATTTTAAAAGATATGCATATTGCATACTATTTCAATAAGCATACATCTAACTGAGATTATTTCAATTCTCCTTCTCCCACCTGCTTGTGAGCACAGGCTTAGAAGCTTACATTATAAAACAGATTTTCACCATCACCACCTGCAGGGAATAAAGCTGACAGACATCAGCTATAGATTTTTACTAGGGGCAATTGCCCAGGAAGTCGGATGGAGTTTTAACTCTCATTTGCACTGCCTAGTGAAATGCATGCTCCCACAGCATGCTATAGAAGAACAACTGCTCAGCTGCACTGTCATGCTATCAGCAACATCACCACTTCCAGCCATAGGACAGCTGAAACTGAAAATCAATTCATATCTGGTTGGATATAAGTTGTCATGTGGCTGAAAACTGTTTGAACAGCTACGCACAAAGACTAATGATTAATGGTAAAGCACTCAGTCAGAATAGAAGGGGAATATGGCATAAATCTGTATTATGTCCAGTCCTATTTAATTGCTTCATTAATGATCCTTATAAGGAAGAAAATATGACATTAATGAAATTCACTTGATATTAAAATGTGAAGAGTTGCAAATACCACAGCGGACAAGGAAAAGGACAGATTTAGAAATAGGGGCAGGAAATAACAGGCTAAAAAAATTCTAGAGCAAGAATAACAGGAGAAACTAAAAAAGAACTTGTACTTCAATACAGCATCAAAAGGCCAATCTCGGCACCAATTTCATTATCAGCCAAAGGCTATGCTCACAACCAATCTCTGTTGGTTAGACATTATATAGTTTTAGAAAATGGTACAGAAGTTCACAGCTCCTCTGTGTGCTGCTTTGAAGAGACCATACTTGGGTATGCATTGACTTCTAAATACCATTTTATCAGTCTCACACTGACAAGCCAAAATATTGCAGGAGAGAGCCATGAAAACCAGGGGAGAGCTACAGAAACTGACTGGGGCAAGGGAGAAAAAAGGAGAGAAAGACTAAAAGGGCCTAATATTTATACTACATCTACCATAACAGAATAAAGTAAGGGGAGATGATGTCAATTTATGTAAGAAATATTTGAAAAAAAAATATATTTTAATAATATAATAGAGTACCCCAAATATAGGAATGAGAGGGTGAAATTAAGAAAGGGAATTCTTAGGCTGAGAATAAAGATTATTGTCCTTACAGGGAAATCTCAGAGTGTTCCCTCTCCAGAGGGAAGTGCCTTATCATTTCAAATTCAGACTAGACAGAACCCTCGAAACGCCAGAGTACTGCAGAAAGAAATCCCTCACTGACAAGGCAATGAACTGGATAATCTAACAGGGTTTTTCTGCAACACTGTACTGTTTAAAAGCTTTGGGAAGCAGTAATTTTTAGAGGGGAAAAAAGTTTCCAGTTTCTGCTGGTTTGCTTTTTAATAAGAAATCATTGCAAAAATATGGATGGACAAACAATGTCTCCTACAGCTATGAACTCCTGTTTGCAGAAGTCAGTCTATACAGAATAGAGAGCGTATGATAGGCTGCAATGTTGTCTGAAGTCTCAGTGCAGAACACATCAGGGAGAGCTTGGAAGCAGGAAACCATATAGTTCAAAAGGTAAGCAAGGGGACAGCAATATCCCCCATCCAAACAGGAGAATGACTCAAGATAGGCTTTAAAATAACCTAAAGTCAAAGCAGTTCTACAGAATATCTCCAATTACTCATGCTGTGATAATATTACATATTGGGGAGCACAAGGCATTTAGCTTCACTGAGTTCTTCTCTATGCACTTAGGGTGTAATTGTTGCTCCACATGACATACATCCTATTTTGTATTGTTGCTTAAAACCTTTACATTTCAACTGTCTTTACTGCATAACAAACGCTTATATTTTTAAGGGTACAGGATTATGTTGAAATGTGGCAATGATGACGCAGAGTGTTTCTAGTAACAGTTAAACGCAAAATAAAATATCAGGACATTTTATCTACGCTTTTCCATTTTATTTATTATTACTATTGGCAAGGAAATGTGCACTGCTCTGATTTACTCTGTGTGGCCCTCAATCTGCAGCTCCAAAGAGCCTACTGGGAGCAGTTCACCAACACTTTGTCAGCCTGGCCTGGTTAAATTCTCTTGTGGCTGCTGGAATGGTTTCTGTAAAGCCATAGAAGGAAATTATGACTATTTCCACTACTTCCACGGTGCTTGAGTTTACAGGGGCAGATTTAATGGCACAATACATACGGTACAACTGTCTGTTCTGAACCTAGATCAGAAGAACTTATCCAAATAGTACATAAACAGTGAGGACTGGCAGAGAGGAAATCTTCATTTGGGATTCCAATGGTACCTTCAACAATACCTTCAGATATGGGTCCCTGAAATCCAAGCTGACCCTGATCTGTTCACATAATTGTCTTAGATCAATACAAAAGGCAGCTGTGAGAAAGACAGGCTTATTGGTGAAGAAAGCATATTTGTGGGGTTTTTTCTCCCAGCAAGGCATTATGGCCATGTCTCCATTTGCTGTGGAGCAGTTTGAAGTGAACCCCCCAATCATCAGCACTTGCTGTTTGCTGATTTAGTTTCTGAGCTGTGTTGGTAAGCAAAACAGATTCTTCTTGGGGGAAACAAAACCCCAAGCTCCACCATGGTTACACACAAATACACTCTGGGCACTGAGACTGACTTTAAGGATCAGAACCAATGAATGACTTAAGGATCAGAACCAAAGACTGGTCCTTAGGGCGGCTTCAAACCCCACGTGTGAGGGGGCTCATAGTCCAGCGTGAGACCGAATCTCTTCTGAAGCAAACCCCTCTGAACTGCACGCACTGTAAATGCGGCGGCAGCAGCAACTGCTTCATTGTACTGATTCTCTCCCATGGCGCAGCTCGGGTGTTAATGCAGGATGATCTCATTCATACTACTTAATACAGCTGCAGCTGTAAATTTCTTTGTGACTTCAAGGCTTCCTTACAAAAAGGTGATTGCTAAAACCAGCTTTAACGTAATTAAGATCTGAGCCCTTAAAACTGAGAACCTGTAAGTGATTGTCCTAAATACACACCGTAGCATGAATGGTGGTGAAACTGGAAGACTGGGGTAGAGGCAAAGAGACAGCAGGTAATGACCAGTGAGAACAAGGAGCAAGGTTAGCTCTTTAACGCAGATGTGCCCTGGCTGTGGCCAGACGATTGTGCTGGGATGGCCAGAAAAGCAATCACTGCCTCGCTGGTGGTAACAGCCTTCCCAGCAGGAACCTGGCATCTCCCACGTAACCACGCTGGTCCCACCAGGCCAACAGAGCCACACCACGAGACTATTCAGAAACCATCCCATCTCTGTCAGTTACTACAGCCTTCTCATCTGTGTTTCAGAAATGAAAGTGTTGACATTTAAAAGATAAAAAAAATACGCTATACTGCAGTACTTAGCCATGCAGTATATGCAGTGTTATGTAGAACCTGGAGAGGAGAGTAAGGCAATAAATGGTGGTTCTTTTTTATCTTAAAACATTGTAGTCCTATAGTAACCCAGATATTAATCACTGCGAGTGAGGTGAGGGCGAGCTCTCTTAAAGTGCGTACTGCAACCTCTTTGTTAGCAGTGACTGGAGTTGCCGAAAAAGCATTAAAGCATTGGAGTGAGACAAGCAGCAGGACCCGATTTGGAGACCCGCATTCCCACCGTCTCTGCCTACGTTCACCAGAAGAGACATGCCACGGTGCACTTCAGATCCTGAGGTAAGCGCAGGGCAGTGTCGCGCCTGCCCTCCAGCCTGCGTCCCCTCCTGCAGAAGCAGGATGTGAGAAGTGTCTGCACGTGCAGAGGTCTCATTATGGACCCAGGTGGGAGCTGACAGCCTGGAACGTGGAAGTGCTCCGGGGTCTGGTACAGTGAACAAGATCACTTGAACAGTACAACGGGCTAACTAAGGTGAGTATCTCTTAATATCACCAATTTGCATTTAGAGACAGAAACATCCTCAAAAGTAATGTTCTTGGCAAACCAAGCCCGAAGCTCCAATTTAACAGAGTAACTGAATTTCTAATACATTGACACATTGGTAAGAACATTCCAAATGAGAAACAGAATTAACCATAGCCAAAGGGCTAAGACCTACCCTTCCTAACTTTTTGTTTTGTCTCCATTCATTTAATTCTGATCATGGAAGAAGTGCCAGTAATGCACAAAATGTAAAGCGTGAAAGATGCAGTTTCATA